CTGTGGGAAGTGTTACTATCTTTATTTTCAAATAGAACTACTCAGGCACAGAGAGGTCAAGGGTTACATTTTCAAGAGTACTGGTTAATATTCTGGATCTCAGCTATTGGGAGTCCAATGTAAGACACCTAGGCCAAGATTTTCTGAAACTGGGTGCTCATATTGGGCTTCAAAGTCCATATTTGGGCTGGGATTGTCAAAGGAGCCCACAACTCAGTGAAAGCTGGGCACTAACTCCCTTTATACTGCTTTGAAAATTCTAGCCTCAAACATGTAAATCGTTGATTTCCAGAGGTGCTGAGCATCTACAGCTCCTTCTGGCGTCAGGAGGAGATGCTGGGCTTTCTGCACTTTTGAAAAATCAGCCCAATTATTTAGATATGTTTAAATATGCATTTAGAAGCCTAATTTGAGGCACCCAGTTTTGGAGATCTTGGCCTAATTCCAGCTTCTTCCTCAAGACGTTTCCACAGAGCCACACTTTAGAGGCGTGTGTTTGGCTGCATAGCCAAGGAACCTTCTTGGGCTGATGGGACAGTCAGGGTCTTTTGCTGGCCTGGCACTGGAAGGTCCAGATGATTCCACTGTTGGGTATACATCGTCCGCTGCTTTGCAAGTCTATGGATGAGTCCCTAGTGAACAGATCTGTAATGCATATTGGGACATGGTGGTGTTCCCATTTCACAGGGCAAAGATTCCCTGCTGTGGTGAATGTTGCCAGAAAATATATGAATGCACACATTCCTCTGCACTGGGAGACAGGGCTCATCTATGAACCTCTGTCGTTCATGGTCTTTGGAATCCTCATGAATTAAGGGTCCCATATATCTTCCACAGCTGAGGGCCACAGACTAGCTCTCAAATCCTCTCTTCCTTAGATCCAAGGTAACCAGTGCAGATTCTCACCCAGAATATGGCTGCCATGTATTAGCTGGACTGGGGGAGAGGCAGGGCTGGGTCAGGAGGGTGCATTTGTAATAGAGTGACCCTGTCTGCATTGCCGCTGGTAGGCACAATAAACACTGCAGCCCTTAGGCCCATGTCTGATTCTCACAGGCATGGATTTGTTTGGTTTAGCTGTAGGGTGCACAAACATCTCCACAGTTTCAGAGCTGAGGGACTTGACCTGACCCAGTCCCTATGATTGTGACATTATACCCTTGTATTCACACCCTATACATTATTGTAATATTTTTGTACAAAGTATTCCTTGTGTGGTATCTGAAAACTCATAATTTGTTGGTCATTATTGTCCTGGTAAAATATGTGTAGTGACAGTGTATGTGACTGTAGTGGGGTGGTCACCTGCTCCAGCCCTGGAAGGGTTAAAGCCAGCCCTGGGAGAGGGCTGAGGCTGTGAAGCAAAGCCTGGGCTGATTAGGGAAGGCAGGAACAGCTGAGGCCATGCCCCAATCAGGCCCAACTGGTCCCTATAAGAGGCTGTGAGCCAGAAGCCCAAACACTCTCTCTCTGCTTGTAGAGAGAGAAGGGCCTGGCTGCTAGGGAGCCGAGCAGGGTACCAGGAGTGGAGCAGGGCTGGGGGAAGGCTAGAGGAGCTGAGGAGCTCCAGGCTGTGGGCCTAGCTGAGGGCCTAAGACAAGTACTGGGGTTGCAAAGGGGCAGGCCAGCAATAGGTAGAGGCAGCAGGTCCAGACCCAACCTTGCCTATGATGAATGGCTTACACTGCAGTCTGCCCAGTGTGTGGGGGCAAGTTGGTGACTGGCAGTAGCCTATGACTGAGGTGAGGTGGGGGTAGTGGGTGGGGGTTCCCCTGAGTGGGGAGACCTGGAGAAACAGTGGGGGTACTGTCAGGGGGCAGCACCCAGTGAAAGGGTTGCCCGGGGTCTGGGAGGGACACGGGGGCCAGCGGCAAAGCGAGGCACCGGCCGACAGAGGGCGCTCCGGAGGCTGGAAGCTAATTCCCCGAGACGACCATCAGGAGGTACCACGGCCGTGAGTCTACGCACAGTTACAGTGACGTTATAGGATGCCCCTGTATGGTGTTATTAACACATGTTCCCAACCTCGCAGTCCTACCCAAACAGGTTGGCAAACAGGTCTGTCCTACACAAAGGAATAGGCGCTCTGCTTAATTTTAATTTAAGCAGTAAATAGAGTCACCAAGCAGGAAGAGAAACTGGGGAAGCTCAAACACGTGAGGACAAGCAGCGGGAACATCCTTCCACACAGACTTTTTGTCTACTCGTGCCCAGCTGGAAATATTTTTTCAAGAGGGAGACTGAAACTATAAAAGGAGGGAAAAACACCCCAAGGCACCCTCCCGCTTTCCCCTTGCCCATTGCATTCACTGCTCTTGAAGTGACAAAGGAAGCATTCTCTGGACTCTGGAAGAGGGGTCCTGACCTCTAGGATTTGGTCAGTAAGACTGCTAAAAGCATTTGGTGAGAAACTGCTTGAATCTTATATAGTTTATCAAATTAGGTATTAGTAAATATCTTCTTTTTATTTTTCTTGTAACAATCTCTGACCTTTATGCCTTATTACTTGGACTCATTTGAAATCTCTCTCTTTGTAGTTAAAAACTTTTTATTGTTTTATCTAATCCAGTGTAAGTGTCTAGGAAACTCCATTTAGGGGGACAGGATGTGGGCTTATTATTCTTTTTAAAGAAATAATGGACTTAGTATAACTTGTATTGTCCAGGAGAGGGCTGGGCAGAAGAGGACATACATTTCTTGGGGAAAATCTGAGACTTGGGATGTGTTGGGGTCACCTTGCAGTATAACCAAGACTGGTGAGAGCCGGAGTGTAACCCAGCGTGGCTGGCAGGCTGCAGTTACACACAGATACTCAGGGTGTGGTTTGCCTGCTGGAAGACTGTTTGTGAGAGGCCCAGGTGGGAGCTACTTCAGCAAGGCATTGTAAGGCACCCAAGGTTGCAGGGCAGGGGTGACACAGCTGCTCATTAGTCAGGACTGTAGCCTGTGTCACTGTGATATTGGGCTTTCTCTTGTTTATGACTTCAGACTTGTACTCTGTGACTACCAGGTCCCTGTGAAAGGGGCACTCCTGTGTCTGTATGAAAAAAACAGAGCTGTCCAGCACCGGCCATGTCACACACAACAGACTTCTTGAGAGCTGTTACTTACTTGATTACTGAGATAGAGCTAAGCCTTACAGGAAATGTAATCGATTATTGGTAGTCTTTTGGGAAAAGTCTTTGGCACAGGTCATCCTGGCCAAAAGCTAAGTAGATAGGAGTTTGTACTCAGTGCTATCATTTGGCTGCTCTCCCTACATTTAACCATATCAAGGCCCATTTCACCGGGCAGCAGCAGTTTCAGTGATGTGTTCTCAAGAATGTGTCCGCATCAAAGATGTGTAGGGCAGCTGGACAGAGTTCAGTGCACACCTTTACAAGCCCCTAATGTCTGGAGAGTGCAGCAGGACAAAGTTCAATGGGACTGCTCAGTGTGAGTAGGGGGGACAGGAGCAAGTCTTAGGGAGAGGGCTTACAGTTTGTTGTCACATTTTGTTACATTTCCAGACTTTCAAATTTTTCTTTTTGGCTTTTTAAAATACACTATGTTTTATGTTTCAGTGAGGTATATCGACATCCTTAGTTCTGTGCTAAAGAACATTTTCATCCAGTACCTAGGCATAGAATATAAAGCAAATGACACATTTCAGGGAGCCTCACACGTGCAAATCAGTTACAGAACAAAAGGCAGTATTTTCAATTGGTAATCAATAAACAGACATATATTTACATGACTTCCACTGTGAAATGAAAACATTTACCATCTCAAGAAAGCAGAAATTCAAAAACTGTGAAATTATAATCCATTGGCTTCACTGGCATACCAGTTTATATCAGAAAAGCTGTCTAGGAAGAGACAAAGAGCATTGGAGGAGGGTGAATGGGCATATTGGAGATATTTACAATAAGCAGGCATGTGACTTCTTTATCTAGTAGATTATAAAGGGTAAAAGGCTTCCAGGAGAAGATGGGGTGTCCTGCTCAGAGTGATGTACCCAGCACCATAGGAAATCAGACCTAATTCAGCAAACCAGCCCTATGCAGCACAACATTTAAAGCATGTGTTTAACTTAAAGCAGGTAGCAACTACTGTACCTGGTTAAAGTCAAGCACATGCTCAACTGCTGTGCTGAGCCAAGGAGAGGGATTTCTCCTAAAGCAGATCTGTATTGCACTTTCTGTGGTGGAAATACCCAAATGCACTCACCTGAGTAATCCAATTGAAGCTGATGAGACTATGTGTGTACAAGTGTGTACTCAACATCAGTAAGAGTTTGGAATTGGATTCTGCTGGAGGGTGGTAGCAGAACACAACACATGGTAGAAAACAGCAGCAAGCTGCTGATACTAGCCAGAGTAAAAATGGATCCATAGAATGGAACAAAGACAGACTGACACTCCAAGGGACATAGAAATGTATTAGGGATAAGTCCATAGAATAGACCACCACCAGCTCAATGAAATGGATCAGATTACAGCCCAGATACAGGAGGCATGCATCCCTCCCTCACTGACATGAATGTTCCCAATCATTTCATGAGCTTTTTGAGATTGGTGTTTGGTTGATATTTAGTCTGAAGTACCTGCCCCAGGGCAGCCAGACAGTGAGTTACCTGCTCTAACTGCAGATTGGGGAGACAATCGGAGGTTCAGAGAGAGCCACGCAGGCTTTCCCCATCTCTGGTATAAAGTAGGTGGAATACCGGATGGCTCTGTAAGGATGAGGGAGCGTGTTGTGATGAGTAATCAGAGGCAGCGCAGCAGAGAAGTCAGTGAGGAAACAGCCACATGTATCATCACTCGCTTGGGGTAATGAAGTGACTTTTCCTCTGCAGCTCTGCCTCAATAGAAAGTGACAGGGAACAGCGTTGCAGACCAGAGATGTCAGTGCAGCAAGTGCAATAGGAAAGGAAGTGGAATTACTGCCTTGTCATTATGCCCCTTGCAGCTCACAGGCTAATGAGATATAAAAAAAAAATGAAATGAGCTGACACCTACTTAATCTCTTCAGAGAAGAATATTTACTTGGGTTAGTCTTGACTGCAGCCTCGTAGGATGGCGGGAGATGGGAGAGGTTCTGGAAGGACCTGGAAAAGGAGAGATCATAGGGCTCCGTGGCGGAAGTGAGGATATTGTTCATCCGTGGTTTTTCTGCAAGAAAGAATAAAAACATGTCCACACAATGCACCAGGGGTCAGGGAAGAGAGAGGTGAGCCATTCCCATCCACCTGCCGGGTAGCAAAGCCGCTCCCATATATCTGAACCAAATCTGACAGCTAGGCACTACAATATAATTCAAACTGACACCAGCCAAGCCATGGGAAATGAAACCCAAGACTTTGTTGCCTTTATTCTCCACTGCAACTATTAACAAATGCACTCTGCAGTGAAGTGCAGAGCACAGACACCTTTGCTAAGTCAATGGTAAAGAGAGTCATCTCGTTATGGACAGAGAATGCTACACTGCTGCCTATTCCCCAGGGGCTCCAATTTCTCATCTCTAAGGACAGAGTTAGCACAGATGCCATTAACATCTATGTACGAGCAACCAAACCCGCCATGTGGGGACAATGATTTTTTGCATTCTGCACTCTAGTGTCTCGTGTTTACTGTAAAATACAACACACCCTCCTTTTAAGTCAGCCACAATTTCAAACACTGCCCCTTTTGGGGATGGGGGCTCTTCATTTCTCCTCCCCCCTGCACTAGATGGAGTCTACTATTGCTATGTGCCATTCAGACTGGCTACTCGCCCTAAGAATTCACTGTCTGAGTTCCGGTATCATCCCATTCTCTCTTTGGGAGGAGACTATTGTTTTAAGGGTTGGATTGAGGGGAAATAGTGATGGTTCCTGAAGCCTCCTGTGTTGTCTGATGCCAGCCTGACTCCTGTCATGACAGGAAACCTACAGGACAGAGACTGTAAAGGGTTTAAGGCCCGTGCACAATTGAACTTTCATCCTGGCATCCTAGAAAAGGCTGATGTCCCAAGCCAAAATAATTCTAGGAAGGGTCAGATGCATGTTGGGAACTTTTGTTTTGAGAACTGGGTTTTTGCTGATGTTCCTGAGCTGTCTTAAGGTAGCTCTGTTGAAGGGTATTTCTACAGAGCAGCTGGAAGAGTGCTTCCCAGCCTGGGTAGACAGACACATTAGCGCTGCTCAAGCTAGTGCACTAAAAACAGCAATAAACAGACGGGAGTGTCTAAAAACAGTGCACTAAAAACAGACGGGAGTGTCTCTCAGGGAGATGGGGGGCGTTTGCTTTCAGTGACTGACCTTTCTGCGTCACGATCTAAACCGCACAGCTGAACTTCAGACCATCGTGTTTCTCAAACCTAACAACACATCCTAGATAGTCTTCAAGCTGAGCTCCTGCCTCTGCTGGAGCTGTCAACAGGGCACAGGGGAACTCTGTCCCATCAGACAACCCAGGATGGTCTCTTGACCTAACTGTCCACCTCTCAGGAGTGAGTGGGTTGCTCTGGAAAAAGGGGCCATGTGCTAGGGCCTGAAGTGGCAGGAATGGCCACGGGCCCCATCACCTGTTGTGCATGGGGCTCAGAGACTGCATGTCTATAGAATCATAGAATCACAGGACTGGAAGGGACCTTGAGAGGTCATCTAGTCCAGGCCCCTGCACTCATGGCAGGACTAAGCATGGGCAGCAGGTGAACCCCACTTTCGGGGAGGCTAGCCCACCAGCCCCGCCCCTTCCACCTGAAGCTGCACCCCCCGGCTCCCTCCTCCCCAGTCCCTCCTCCCTCACTACGCCTAGAGCCCCAAGCCCCCCATGGCCCAAGCTGCGCTGGCCTGGCCCGGGCCAGCCTGAGCGACCCCAGTCACATGTCCCCGGGCCACACCAGCCGCCCCAACCCCAGCCAGCCACCCTGACCCTGGGGCCAGTCTGAGCTGCCCCAGCTGGCCCAATCGCTGGGCCGGCCTGAGCACCAGCCTGAGCCGCCGCTTGCTGATCCCCGAGCTTCAGGCTCCAGCTGGAGTTGAGCCCCCACCAGCTTCAGGATGGGTGGACAGAGCGTGGGTGGGACCACAGCCTCGGCCTTAGCCTTCCCTGCCCTATGATACCCTCCGCCCCTGGGACTAAGTATTATCTAGACCATCCCTCGCAGGTGTTTGAGGCCTCACTGGGTTCAGTTGTGCTGCGGCATATGGGGGAAGTTAGTGCCCAGTGAGTGAGGGTGACAAGGTCTGGCTCTCGGTCAGGAAACCACAACACTCCTTCCTGCTGGCTGATCTGTCCATGGTTTTTATAGAACACCAGTCATGATGGCAGCCCCCTCCCCAGCATCCTGCTTCCTGGTGACTCTGCCTACATGGAGCAGACAGGGCTGGCTCCAGCACCAGCCGACCAAGCACGTGCTTGGGGCGACACCTTAGAAGGGGCAGCCAATGTTGGGGTGGCGGGGGGTGCTCGTGGTGTTTTTGTTTTTGTGTTCGGCGGGGCGGCGCTCGAGGGGTTTTTTTGTTTTTGTTTTTGTTTCGGCCGTGCAGCACAGGGGGTGTTTTGGTGGCGCGGCGCTGGGGGGCGGGGGGTGTTTTGGCGGCGTGGCGCTGGGGGGCGGGGGGTGTTTTGGCGGCGCGGCACTGGGGGGTGGGGGGTTTGGGCGGCGGGGTGCTCCGGGGGTTTGGATGGCCCGGCCCGGCGCTCGGGGGGGGGGGGGTGGGGTGGCCCCGCGAGGCGCGGGGGGGGGGGGGGGGCGGGGGGGGGGGGGGGGGGGGGGTGGTGTTACGGCGGGGCGGCGCTCTTCTTTTTTGCCTGGGGCGGCAAAAAAGTTAGAGCCGGCCCTGGGAGCAGAGCTCGATATGGCTTCCTCTGTCGGCAGGTGGCTCTGCTCCCAGCATTGCTCAGAGGCGATGAGTCACTGAGGGAATCCCTGACCCCAAATGTCATGTCGAGCACAACCCCTAGCTCCCACGGACAGGCATGGAGACGCTCCCTTTGACGTCAGTGAGAGCTGGAGTTAGGGGCTACTGCAGCTCTGTGACTGACTCACTAGCTGACCCTGGGCAAGTCACTGTACCCCTCGGTGCTGAATTTTCCCCATCTGATAAATGAGGTTCGTGACACTTACCCACCTTTGTAAAGTGCTTTGAAATCCTCAGCTGCACTGCACTATGGAAGTGCTAGTTCTCACGCAGCGTAATGATGACAATTAGTATTGTAACAGAAAAAGGCTCAGCCTATAGTTATTGTCAGAAATATCGTTTTTTCAAGCTTGGCATGATTTTTATTCTAATTGTGGGCTTTCCTTGTCACTCCAGAAATAGGAGTTGGTTTAAAACCAGTCTTGTGTAAGGAGACTTTTGTGATGCAGGCTGCCGAGAGTGATTGTGATAGGAAGACAGTGTGATGGGGCTCTGGGAAGGAGGGTTCATGCCGATCGCTGTGAACTCCCTAAAGGAAGTGCTGTTGTGCACACCGGTCTCTGCATTACTGCCCTCCCGGGCTGCAGGAGACATGAAATTTGCACCAGTTGTCCATTCTCTCCAGTGTCAGCTCCCAGGTTTTGTGTGTCCCTTGTTAACATATGGAAACCCTAGGTATTCTGCTCTCTGGCCTTGGGGTGTAAAGTGTTTGTTTAGGGTTACAGTGTGACACTGTAGATAGCACTCAGGTGTTTCCCCAAGGGCCACTTATAGCCTGCCTGCCAAACTATTTCTGCCCAAAGCTCTGTTCCCACAAGCTCCTAGAGCCCTGCACCCACAATGAGCCCTAACAGGACTTCCCATTGGTGCAGGGTCCGTTTGGGCATGTGAGCTTGCAGAATCAGGCCTGCATTCATAAAACTCCTTTCACTAAAAGATGTATAGATTTCTGCAGCAATTTCTGGTGCAGGAACGAGGGGCAGCCTCCAGCAGAATTCAGGCTCCTCACTTGCATATTGCTTTATTTGTCACAGAGGGAGGCCATGGGTCAGCATCTTGAAACAGAGCCCTCTGCCTGCTTGCTAGCACTGAGCATGCCTCCAGTGATGATGACGGGTGCATCTGTATTTTAAAATGCTAGTGGAGAAAAGAGGCCAAGCCACTCGGTCCAGGCAGTCTGCGGAGTTTGCTTGATATTGAAAGCACATCTCTTTGCTGAAAGTCAGGTGGAGTGACTGAAGCCGGAGTTTAAAATAGTCTTTCATCAGCCCAGCCAAAGGCCTGTCGAATGATGACATTGATATCTCTCCGGTGTATGGGTTTTAAAGTAGGCAGAGATCAGGCTATTCAAAATAGCAGTGAACACAACTGCTGGGAGCCTAGTGTCAGGCTGTGGGAGGGAGCCTAGTGTCAGGCTGTGGGAGGGACAGGGTCCTGGCCGAGTGTGCGGTAGGCCTGGGTCATGTGACCTAGTCTGAGGGGATTCAGGTAGCGGCTGGGTCTGACAGATACGGCAAGAGCGCAAAATTCTGATGTCACTAGGAGACGCTGTCAGCCAGCCTGCTCCGAGAGCTGAGCTCCTTCATCCCTGCATCAGCCTCATGCAGCAACAGGGCCTGGCTCTGCTCAGGCTGCTCATGCTGCCTAAGGAGCCCCCAAAGGCACCACTGTCCGGGCTTTGCTTTTGTCTGAGCATTCCCAGCAGGCTAGGTGAGACCGTCCAAGGATGGCGTAGGGGCGACCAGACTCCTAGTCCTGACTCAGCCACAGTCCTTCCTCGGAGCTCTCACACCGACAGCACAGCTGGTGGCACAGCTCTCTGCAGCTACCTCCCCAAGGAGCACTCTCAGGGAGAAGGGCCTGCACACCTCAGCCTGCAGCCCAGCACCAGCCCAGGGACACAAGGGAGCCAGCTGGCACGGCCCTTATCCCGGAGCTGCTGGGGCTGTGCAAGCTAGGACAGCTCTTTGGCCCCAGGGAGCTTTGCATAGGCATCAAATGGGGGGCATGGGACTGCCCTGGCCACACCTTCTCCTGACCCCAATATATCCCCTTGTGCCTCCCTCTACCTCTGTTCTCCCCACGATACACACACACACCCAGAACGCCCCTGGCACCCAGGACTACTATGGAGGCAGTGCAGAAGTAGCTCTATGCCTGGCATTGTGCAGGAGAGGCCTCACTTCTGCAAAGGGGGGAGGAGGGGGAGAGAAGGGGGCTTTTTGCCCTGGCGCATGAGCAGCCAAAGGGTATGTCTACACTACA